GGAATTCATCCCTTTCCACTTATTTACCTTAACCCTAATGAGAAGGGGTTGGGAGTGAGAGCAGTTGGCAAGTATTCTCTGTACTGTCTGTGTGTGGGGGGGTCCTTATTACTGTATGTTAAAGCATGACTGGTTGGCAGCTTCCCTCAAAGTTCTGGAAGAGATATATTAAATGCTCCAGGGCACAAGCCAGCTTCTATTCACTGGGGGACAGGAAAAAATATTCCTTATGAGTACATTTTTCTGTAGCTTCTTGTCACAGACAGTGGGTACCAGGCATTGTCAAAGACCATGCCAGACCTGTGGGTTAATCTGGTAGGATGGTTCCTATAGTGGATGGAGGTGTGTAGGATTTTTGACAGGGATGGCTCTGGTGTCTCTCTATTATTTTTGGCCAGATACAAAGGGCATAAGTCCATCTCCCAAGCTATGTGTGCATATGTAATGCCCCAGTGTGCAAACAACTGTATTAGCAAGCTGTATGACTGCATAGAAGTGTTTATGTGTGATAATTTATTTTGCCTTGTAGAAGCTGACCTTGCGGAAGGCACAAGAACATTCTTTGCAGACAGCCCGGCTACCCATCCGAGAGTACATGGTGAAGAATGTTAATGAGAAGAACTATCATTCCGAGATACTGGCCATCAATCAGGGTAAGGGGCCAGACTGTCCAGTGCAGTTGTGTGGCAACACCATTGAAGGATGTGGGGCCAGCAGAGTTCTGATTATAGCCCAGGGTTGCCCCATTTCCAGAAGCTAGAGGAACTTTTGTTCCCAGTGAACTGCTGGGCTGGGATGTGCAGTCTCTGTGGGCTCCACCTCTTTACTAGAACTTTTCCACACTCCTAAGCAGCAGCCTTCTGCCCCTTGACCTTCCTAAGAGGCTTGGGCTCCCACATTTAATTCCTGGTGAGCACTTGGTCTGCAGTGGGGTGGAGGAATGGGAAAGTAATGACTACTGGTGACTGGTCAGCTGTCTGGGCAGACAACTGGCTGCAAATGGAGGTGGCAGATTTGGGCTAGATTAAAGCAAGAAGAGGAATGGAGCACTTACAGCACTTGTTGCTGGTGGAAAAACGGTTTGGCTAAGAATTAGGCTAATGCCAAATTTGAGAGACCTGGGCTAGCACATAGGAACAATACATTGGTTGCCTCAAGTCTGCCTGGTACCCAGACTGGGGTACTGATGGTCAAGGACACCCTGTCCAGGAACAGTCTTTTATGACATGGCACCGGGCACAGAGACCTTGACCAAGGTGTGAATGTATTACCTTGTGCACAGGGGCCTGCATGGCACAGAAGCAGTATAGCTGCAGATGCTTAGGCTAATGCCTCAATACTATATTGGGTAATCTCTGCATGGCACTACCTTGCGTACCTCAAAATACTACTGCCTAAGATGAGTGTAGGGGAAGCTAGGTGCAGGCAGGTGTATATGCAGGCTCCATTGCTTTTATGTGCCTCTCTTCAGAAACCCAGGTTTGAAAACAATGGCCTGGGTTTACGATTGAACATTTTCATGTTTCAAAAGTGTTGGGCAGCAAGGAAACACTAACATGGTGTTGTGGCAGCTAGTGGAAACAGACTGGTATGTTCTTTGATGGTTCTCAGGAGGCCCTGGTTGTTCTGATCTGTGGTGGGTTGCCAGAATAGCGATGTGGCTGTCACTTGGATTTCAGAGTTTCCCAAAGCTGCTGGTTTATGGCAGTGAAACACCTTTGAGACTACGGGGGTAGGGAAGTGATGGACAATGCAAGTTCCTTAAGATGTCCACTCACCAGATCCAAACAAAGACCAGTGCAAAACCCATGGTCACCATGATGGCAACAACTTATACTTTTTTCTGACTTGATTTTTTCAAACCAGTGAAAAATGAACCCAGATTTCCAGTTATCTCTGTATTTGGACTGACCTTTATCACTGTTTTTGACAGTCTTTGATGCCTTATCAACCTACTATGAAACCAAAAGTTGGCCAGAAGCCTTGAAAGCTGGAGTTCCTCTTGGAAAAGGTTATATTCTTCCAGATGCTGATAAATGACTGAAACCACATCTGCTTGGCAGTGCACAAGAAGATTCTTTATTCTGTGATGTTAACGGGCTGTACAAACAAGAGGCAAACTCTACCTTGATTATTTCAAGCAGAGGCACCAGCATAAATTTTGTGTACAGGAAAATGCAGCACAATCTAAACCTCTTTTCAGTTGGATACATTCTACCTCATTGGTGTATTGCTGGAAAATGACTTTACCTACACCCTGGGACTCAAAGACCAACTGGAACTTAGTTTTACTTCCTGGTGAGGCTTGTTAGACTATTTTGTAAATGGCTCTCCATTCTGTGCTTGTTCTTTTGTGGGGTCTGGAGAAGATATAAAAACCTTAAGGGACTTATTTGCTTTACTCATGGTTAAATGTAAGCAATGCACGGTTGCAAGGTACAGTTTACAGAACACAGAAGCAAAAGTAATGGTGTCCCTTAATAAAGCACCATGCTGTTCCTGTTTAGGAACACAAAGCTGGAAGGGACTCTCCTTGGCTCACTGATATCACTCTCCTGTCACACCACAAGCAACCACATCATCTCATTTCTTTCCTAAACTGGCCAAGTGCTTAGGAAGGTTTTGCTTGTACTCCTGCATGTATGCTTCCAGGGAAGACACCCCAGGTTGGTATTTTCTCCCCTCTCCAATTCCTATCCCGCAGGCTGAGCAGGCAGGAATACACCATCAGGAAGTTTTAAAAGCAAAAGGGAAGGTTTTCCTTTGGGGTACAATAGAACATCCAGTGCTGTTGTAGCCCAAATACATTTTTCCCATTTAAATGGAAAAGAAACCCCCTAAACAAATGAGTAGATTGACAATCAGGTATTTTCATTCTCATTAGGGTCTCCTCACTCAGTCAGAGTGCTGTACAGGAGATTCCATTTTACCTTACAACCTTTACACACAAATCAGACCAGTGTATGTAACAGAACTGACATAACAAACAGCACCTATGTTCTGCAAAGAGCTGGAGGGTTCCCCCTCCCTTCACCTTAAATTCTAGTACTTTTCCTCCACAAATTGCACTTTTATGCTTGCCAGTGGATTTGGAGGCACCTATTGATTCTCATTTAAAAATAGAGGGGGAGTTCTTATTTTTAAGGATAGTGTTCCTTCCCACCCAGAGGTGTCGCCCACTGCAGCTTTGCTGACTCTGAAATCTGTTTGTTGGGTTTGGGTTTAGGTTTATGTTAAGCTTTCATATTAGATTTCAATTTTATCAGATGCAGTCTTTTAAGTAAAGGCCACAGCCTGCAGTGCCTAAACTGCTGTCAAACCTTGCTCTGAGCTGGTCCATAGGGTCCTGCTCCATTGGGCACCACAGGGTGTGGGGTGAATTGAAGGAAAGCTACTATGCCTTCTATTAACAAAGCTGATGCATGTAATAGCTGCAGGGCATCAGTTGTTACACTATCACTGTTGAAATGGCCCCACTGTAGCTCACAAATGATTGCTAAATCCCTATTGGTTTACGGTGCAATGGTTCTAGAATGCTGTTGCCTTTAACAGTGAAAGTCCTGTAAGGTTGCAGTACCCTATATGGGTGCCTATGACTACTTTCTTACCCAGGGTGTTTTCCCAAGATGGCCCCAAGTACAGGGCGTGTGCTTGGATTGTGCTGCCTTGCTATAGGTTAGGGCTGTACAAAGTTCAGGTGCTGATTTATTTTGGAGGAGATTTGGCCCGATTTGGCAGCTGAATCTCCGAATCTGAATCGAATCAGGAGACCAGTTAAAAGGTCCCAATTGATCTGAAGTTCTCCAAATCGATTTGGAAACTATTCGGAGAGCTTTGGAGATTTGGGCAGTCCCTCCTCGCTGCTGCAGAGAGCTGGACCGGGACTCCATGCTGGTAAGTAGGGGCGGAGGAGGGGGAGAGGGGACTGGGGGGACCCCTGCCAGGCCCCATCCCCTGCCTGCGCACCTCCCAACCCCCACCCCTATGGCTGCCCTGCCCAGCCTGTCATCCCAGCTCTTTAAAAAAAAAAAAAAA